GTAATCCTTTACACCACCGCCCACAGGATACGGGATGGGTATGGGGTGCATAATAAAGAAAGAAATTGAATTGGACGGAACAGCATAATTCATTTAGCTAAGTAAGTTACAGTCTTGATGATCTAGTTACAAAATTCAATGCACAAACTTAAAATGTGTTTGCGTCTCTGGGATTTTTTGGCAAAATTAGCACCAATTGATGAAAAGAAGCTATTAAATTCAGTTGCACTTCTCGAGTGCAGATTTATGTTAAAGTACCTCCATGAGATATTATATTGTATTTTTGGATATGAATAAAGTAAAGTAAAACATGTAAATAATAATGTTTGCGATATGAATCTCTAAAAATGCGATAACTTTTGTGTTGAAATGAGATAGATTAAGGGTGTTTTCAGAAGAGTGTTGAGTATATAGCGAGGTAGTGAGCGCGGCGGCAGCTGTAGTGACATGTTCCCAGCCGCCACAGGCCGCTTACCATGACGGATCCTCGCCAAATACACGCAATAGAAAGTGAATGTAAACAATTAGAAGTCAGTGACGCATGGAATCAAGTGTACCAGGTGTGGTATTGATCATAATTGTGATTATCCTGTGGGAAAAATAAACGAGGCGGGAAAAGTGAAGCTTGGACAGAGCAGCCAAGCCAAAGCCACCCGAGAATGTTTACTTGTGGAGCATGGAGGTGGCCTCGTTTATTGCTGCGCCTTGCCTCACTCCTTACTGCTTTGTACATGTGATCTATGAGAGAACATGAAGTGCCCTTAGGTGTACAAGAGGATACTTTACCGGGTGAAAGGTCATATGCGAAGTTTGTGGTCTTGTACTGCAACGTTTTCCCCAGCGTAGGCCTATTTGTCCTACCACATTTTTTTTTTACATTTTATTTATATATACGAGTTTTTACATTCTTGTAAAGCCACTAGCATGCATAGCGTTTCGGTCAGGTCCTTAATCATAATTTTCCCTGGAATACGACCCGCCAAACTGTTTACAACCAGGTACCCTTTCCCTGCTGGGTAAACAGAGGTTACAGTTAAGGATTGGTGCCTAGTTAATTATCCCCGGCCAAAATATATAAACCCAGGCCAAAATCGCTCGCTAAGTGAGGGGCGGGACGACTGTAATTACCTAAGTGTAGTTACAGGATGAGAGCTACACTCGTGGTGTCCCAAGGAGGTCTTTCAAACACACTTTGTCATATAACGCTTTGAAATTTCTGACAGTTTTGGCCTCCACCACCATCTCACCAAACTTGTTCCAACTGTCTACCACTCTGTTTGCAAAAGTGAATTTTCTTATACAGTGTTTATTTGGTAGCTTTGTTTAGTTTAAATCTATGACCTCTTGTTCCTGAAGTTCCAGGTCTCGGGAATTCTTCCATATCAATTTTATCATTTCCTGTTACAGTACTATTTTGTATGTAGTGATCATAGCGCCTCTTTTCCTTCTATCTTCTAGTTTTGTCATATTTAATGGTTCTAACCCTTTCCTTGTAGCTCTTGTCCTTCGGTTCTGGGAGCCATTTAGTTGCATGTCTTGCACCTTTTCCAGTTTGTTTATGTGCTTAAGATATGGCCACCATACAACTGCTGCATATTCCAGCTTTGGTCTAACAAAAGTCGTGAACAATTTTATTTAGTTTTCAATTTCAAAATTAATACCTTTACCTTTTCAAAAATTACTTTTTTTTTATTTACCAAAATACCTTTTCAAAATGATTTAATTTTATTTTATTAATATTTATTATTTACCCATCCATGTACAGTATTTAAAAGTAATTCTGAAGTTAGAAAAGTGTAGCATAGGCTCCTCACACGATGTTCTTCATATGGTCCTCAGGTGATAGTTTTCTATCTAGAACCACCCCTATCAAGCAGATCCTCCTTTATCACAATTCTTTAAAGATTTCTCACGTAATTTATAGGATGTGTGGAGTTTATGTTCTCCTGTTTCACATTCAGTAACATGGCATTTATTACTAACATTAAATTCCATTTGCCAAGTGGTGCTCCATACACTTATTTTGTCAGGTCTTGAAGGGCATGACAATCATCTAACTTACTTATCTTCCTTAGTATCTTAGCATCATCAGCAAACATGTTCATATAATTCTGTATTCCATCTGGTAGATCGTTTATGTAGACAATGAACATCACCGGTGCAAGAACTGAACGCTGTGGCACTGTACTCCACTTGCGACATTTCTCCAGTCCGATACATTGCCTCTAATTACTGCCCTCGTTTTTCTATCAAAAATTTTCATCCATATTAGAAGCCTACCTGTCACTCCTCCAATATGTTTCAGTGTCCAGAACAACCACTTATGTAGAACTGTTAAAAGCCTTTTTTTAGATCCAGTTAGATGCAGTCCTCTTTCTTGTTAAATCTCTTTCCTCTTTCTTGTAAAATCTCAGTGGCTTGATCATAGAAACTGAGTAAATTTGTTACACAGGATCTTCTCGATCGAAAACCATACTGTCTGTCTGTTATTATATCGTTCTTCTCAGGGTGTTCTACCCATTTAGTTTTAATTATTTTTTCCAATATTTTGACTACTGTATTACACTTGTCAATGATGCAGGTCCTTCATTGAGGGGGTCTTCTCTGCTGCCACTTTTGTAGATTGGAACTATGTTAGCCTTTTTCCACGCATCTGCTACAACTCCTGTACACAGGAATGTCTGAAAAATTGCTAGTGGAATGCTGAGCTTAGGTGCATATTCTCTCAGAACCCATGGTGAAACTCCATCTGGGCCAACTGCTTTGTTCTTTCTTAACTCTTTGAGTGTATTTTCCACTTCGTCTAGACACCTCTATGTGCTCTATATTGTTCTCTGGAATTCTTATTGTGACTGGTTCTCTGAAGATTTCATTTTGTACAAACACACTTTAGAACTTTTCATTTAATGTTTCACACATTTCCTTATCATTTTCCGTGAATTTGTTTCCCATTTTCAACCTCTGGATATTATCCTTTACCTGCAATTTGTTGTTTATGAATTTGTAGAATAGGCCTGGTTCTGTTTTACATTTTTCTGCTATCTAAAAATTTCTTTCTGCCTCTCTCCTTTTTGCTGTGTAGTTGTTCCTCGCATCTTTGTATCGCTGGTATGTTTGAGGGTTTGGCCTCTTCTTATATTGATTCCATTTTTGTGTCATGGTCTCTGGCCCTCTCGCAATTTCTGTTCAACCAATCCTGTTTTCTGGCCATGCATCTTTCTTTAGGTACTCGCCTAATTGTGCTTGCGGGGGTTGAGCACTGGCTCTTTGGTCCCGCCTCTCGACAGTCAATCAACTGGTGTACAGATTCCTGAGCCTACCGGGCTCTATCATATCTACATTTGAAACTGTGTATGGAGTCAGCCTCCACTACATCACTGCCTAATGCATTCCATCTGTTAACTACTCTGACACTGAAAAAGTTCTTGCTAACGTCCCTGTGTCTTAGTTGGCTACTTAGTTTCCACCTGTGTTCCCTTGTTCATGTACCACCTATGTTAAACAGTTTATCTTTATCTACCCAGTCAATTCCTTTTGAGAGTTTTGTAGGTAGTGATCAAATGCGAACAACATTTGTTCGCATTTATGTTCCTCACATGTGCTCCAAAGAATGAGGTGATTTGATAAAATACCATGCCCAAGATTACTAACCGAGTGCCGGCGGGGGGATGGAAATAGCCTTGGCTACCATCCTCTTTTGTCCGGTCGTGTTGGTCGAGTGATTAAGGGATCCTGTACGCCAGCAGTGTGCTCCTGGCAGTATGGGTTCGAGTCACTTCTGGGGTGTGAGTTTTCAGTTATATGTATGTATGTATGTATGTATATACATATATACATATATACATATATATATATAATATATATAATATATATTAGTATATTTTGGTAGCAGTTTTTCTTGTAAACACATGTTATTAAACCTGACCGAAAAAGTAAGAGTAATAATTCTAACATGAATTTTCTCAATATTTCTTATGTTTCTTTTTACTGTTGATGGTAATTGAAAAATCAATTCTCCAAAATTCAATTTTATTTCTAGTCTGACGCGACACTTGAACGCGTTTCGTAATAACTTATTACATTTTCAAAGACTTTAGTTTACACACACACAACTATAACCTGCAAACACTAAACAGAGTTTTACTATGCTATCGTTTAAATAGCTTTCGTCTTATATACTCGCATTTGGGTGAGGTGCTATGTTACAACAGTTTTGGATGAGGCGAACAAAACTTTCAACACAAGACAGAACACGGTGCAATTGGTATAGAATGGAAGTAACTGCAAAGGGCCTATTGGCCCATATTTCTTGATGCTTCTATATTGGTGCGGAGTCTTGAAGTGGGTAGAATATAGTTGTGCATTAATTGGCTGTTGATTGCTGGTGTTGACTTCTTGATGTGTAGTGCCTCGCAGATGTCAAGCCGCCTGCTATCGCTGTATCTATCGATGATATCTGTGTTGTTTGTTAAGACTTCTCTGGTGATGGTCTGGTTGTGGGAAGAGATTATATGTTCCTTAATGGAGCCCTGTTGCTTATGGATTGTTAATAACCTTCAATTGTGTGTGTGTGTGTGTGTGTGTATATATATATATATATATATATATATATATATATATATATATATATATATATATATATATATATATATATATATATATAATATATATATGTATTATATATATATAATATATAATATATATATGTATTATATATATATATATATATATAATATATATATGTATTATATATATATAATATATATTATATATATAATATATATATGCATTATATATATAATATATATTATATGATATATATATGTATTATATATATATAATATATATTATATATATATTATATATATATATATATTATCTATATATATATATTATATATATATATATATATATATATATATATATATATATATATATATATATATATATATATATATATATATATATATATATATATATATATATATATATATATATATATATATCTATCTCCAGCATATTCCACTCTAGAGTGGAATACTGCTGCACGATGACAGCCCCTTTCAAGGCTGGAGGAATTGCTGACTTGCTGAGCGTACAGAGATCCTTTACTGCTAGAATCCACTCGGTAAAACATCTAAACTATTTGGACCGACTAAAATACCTAAAAAAGTAGTCTCTAGAGCGCAGGTGGGAGAGATACATAATCATTTACAAGTGGAAAATATTAGAGGGGCTGGTCCCAAACCTACACACAGAAATAACACCACATAAGACCATTAGGCATGGCAGAATGTGCAGAATACCCCTGTTGAAAGGTAGAGGTGCAATAGGTACTCTGAGAGAGAGAGAGAGAGAGAGAGAGAGAACTATCTACATCAGAGGCCTGAGACTGTTCAACACGCTTCCACTACACATAAGGGGCCAACCACTCAGTGTTCAAGAGAGAACTTGACAAGCACCTCGAAAGGATACCTGATCAACTAGGCTGTGACTCGTACGTCAGGCTGTGAGCAGCATTGTTCAACAGCCTGGTTGACCAGTCCAGCAACGAGGAGGCCTGGTAGACAACCAGGCCGCAGGAACGCTAAGCCCCGAAAACACCTCAAGGTAACCTCAAGGTAGGCTATTGATGCGTGGCTTGATTTGCTTTATGTATAATGCCTCACCGATGTCCAGTTTCGTGTTGTTGGTATATCTGTCGATTGTTTTGGTGTCGTTTGTGAGTATATCTCTGGTGGTGGTCTAGTTAAGGCCTCCATTTTGTTACACACCCAGGGAAGCAGCCTGTAGCAGCTCTCTAACTCCCAGGTACCTATTTACTGCTCAGTGAACAGGAGCATCAGGGTGACAAACTCTGCCCATTTGTTTCCGCCGCCACCGGGGATCGAACCCGGAATCTTAGGACTACGAATCCCAAGCGCTGTCCACTCAGCTCTCAGGCCCCTGACAGGGGTGGATAAATGAGTGCCCGCTTGTTTCAAGAGATTTTCTATCGGTTTACATTGTTGGGAAGTTCATTTGGCATGTTGTGAGGCGTCAGTCTCTTTTTGAGCCCAGTAGTGGTTAGGTTAGCTGACCTGGGTGCCTTCCCTGGTGAGGTGACAGTATGTCACCTGTTTACTGTGCCTGTATGGGGGGCCCAGGTTCTGGTGCTGGTTATTGGTAGGCCAAATTGAACTGCACAGCTAATGCGGTTTTGTAGTCAGGGGGGCTATCTCAGCAGGATAGCTGCAGTGAGCCACCAGGGCTCATCCAAAAATTGGCATTTTATTATATTCAGTGCTGGTTTTTTATGTCATCCACATGTACTCCACCTTGTCTAAGGGGTTAAATTTTCTCCTCTGCAAGTTTACTCCTTTTGAATCACCTTGCTTCTGAGTAATGTAAAAAACCTGTTTTCCACTATAAATCCTGTCGATGGTTAGTAGAGTTTTCTAGTAAGTTAGCTATGCATGTGTATGTGACATCCACTTTTGTACTTTAAACTGACAGTCTTCTTGTGTTGCATAAATGAATGGGCTTATCTGATCCAAGGCTTCTTTTCTTCTCTGGGTGTTGTAGTCAGGATTTAGGACCTGTTCAATATTAATATTACTTAACCTATTATAGGTACAGGTTAAGTATTAATTGTAATTACGAAGCAATGAGATGCTTATCTTAACATATTAAGAAGGTTAGGTAAGGTCGGTGTTTTCTATGAAGCTTTTCAAAGTAAACTAAAATATTCACAATAAATTAGTATGTCACATATGCACGTATTTAATAAGTCAATATTGACTATACGAAAGTGCGAGAACGGGTTGGGGATAGTCACTGGGCGGGAGACAATGGTAAACTGAGGGGCGGAGGGGCGACGATCGCCGTACCACCACGCGCTAGGTCGGCCTGAACGCGTATCAACAAACTCGCATTCCGAGGTAACCCTCGCCTTCCGAGACAACCCTCGCCTTCCGAGACACATTTTCCGAGGAAATCCTGCTCGTATTCCGAAAAACTCATATACACGGATACTCGTATTCTGAGGTACCACTGTATCTGTTAATGTGCATGTTTTATATTACAGTATATGGGCAATTAATATCACTAATGACATACAAATACAGTACATCCTTTGAGCCCAGAAAATATAAATACTGTAAATAAGGTGAGAAAGTAAGCAAAAATGGAAATTGAAATTGCCACGCGGCACCTATCCTGTCACTCGTCATTGTGCTAATGCTGCTAGCCGCCCTGCCCAGCAGCCAATAAACTCGTCTAACTTCATGACTCCTCTGTGGTATGTAGGTTTTCATTTATTTGTGATCTTGATATGCTTATCTCCAATATCTGAAGAAAAAATTTAATTATTTTTTTACGCTGTTTAATGGAATGATACCTGCTTGATGGGGTTCTACTCCCCAAGCCTGGCCTGAGGCCAGGCTTGACTTGTGAGAGTTTGGTTTACCAGGCTGTTGCTTGGAGTGGCCCGTAGGTTCACATACCTACCACAGCCCGATTGGTACAGCACTCCTTGGAGAAAACTATCTTGTCTTCTCTTGAAGATGTCCAAGGTTATCCCAGTAATACTGTATTTCTTACGCTTGCCGAGAGGATGTTGAACAACCGCGGACCTCTGATGTTTATACAGTGTTCTCTGAGTGTGCCTATGGCACAGTACAATTTTTTTTAAATGCTGTTTGAGGGTTCATCATTGTATCAAATCATTTTGACCTGGAAATTTTTTGGAATTTGACATATTAAAGTTGAATCTACAATACAGTTTACTTTATAAGTAGTACCACTTACAAGTAGTACAGTGGTACCTCCACTTACGAATTTAATCCATTCCCAGAGACGGGTGGTGACTCAAAAATTCGTAACTCGAAACAAATTTTCCCATAATAAATAATGTAAATTGAATTAATCCGTTCCACACCCCCAAAAATATTAACTTAAAAATACAATTTATACTGAATAACATTCTTTTTATGCTAGCTATAAAAAAGTAAGTATATCTTACCTTTATTGAGGACTCTTGTTGGCGTATGGAAGACAGGGGAGGAGGAGAGGTGTTACTGTTTGGAAGGGGAGTCCCCTTCCATTATAACATCAGGCAGTGATGGTTTCTCTGGGGTACTCTCTCTCCTACGTTTTGCCTGCGTACCATTAGGACCTGCTTGTGGTTCACTGCTTGTCTCACTAAGAACCTTTCCATAAGAGAATTGTTTTTGCCTACGTTTTAACATTTGTCTGTAGTGAGGCATCACAGTGTCATTGAAAAGGTTAAGGCAACGGCCTACTGCAGCTTGATTTGGGTGAGTCGTTTCAACAAAACTTTGCATTTCTTCCCATACTGCATACCACTCACTTCTTAGGTGTTGAGGAAGGGATATTCTGTACTGCCTCCTGCCCTGAAGACTTTTCCTCAGCTGCCTCTTGCTGCCCCAGATAAATAACTTTCTCAACAAGAGGCACTTCAGGTTCAAGCTCAAACTCCTCAAAGTCTCGTTCTAGAACACATTCAGGCAACAATTTTTTCCAGCCAGAGATCATGGTTCTTAGAGTTACTTCTTGCCAGGCTTTGTCTATGAGTTTTAAAGCACTAAAAATTTAAAAATGGTTTCTTGGGGGAGGCCCTACGGCTCTCCGAAGCTATCCAGGCTGGCAAGGATAGTCCTAACTTTTGGTTTTGGCATCAGTTGATGTAGGTGAAGTCTAGGCCTACCGGGAACCACGGCCAGAACCTGGCCTCCTCAGAGAGGCACGAGGAGCAATGGCCTATAGAAATCCACATGTGATTTTGGAACATTCTATATCTGCCATCGACTGGGACAGGCACCCAGAAAGGTAAGCGCCTCAAAACAAACCCCTATTCTGGTAAAACCAACGAAAGTAACGAAACAAATGAACAGAACTTCCCCAAGGGAAAACGAGCAAACAAGCATGACATCACACGAGCTGCGCCGCATGTCTGCGCAGCTCCCCCTTCCCCAGGAGGGGGGAAGGGGGACCCCCAGACCTTTGCACCGGCGATCCACACCTTCAGTTCCTCGGCTGATGGGATAAGGCTTAATCGTTGTGGCTCCAGCTCCAGATTCTCTTTGTGCTGTGCCTGGGTTCAGTATTTCTCTTCGGTGGTGTGCGAGCTGGGAGAAATATTCCAGTGTACAGTACTCGGGCTGCATGTACTCAGAGCTAACTTCCCTAAGTTCCCTGTAAGTACTGTCCTAGGGGCTTGGAGTTACCTTCTACAAGTCACCTTGGGTCTACCTCTGTTGGTCTTTTGCTGCTTGACGATTGACCGCCCTGAGTGTTTGGGGGATTCCTCCCTTGTTTGCATTCCAGATATGGAATGCTTCCAACCACATGGGGGTTTCTATAGGCCATTGCTCCTCATGCCTCTCTGAGGGGGCCAGGTTCTGGCTTGTGGTCCCTAGTAGGCAATCAACTCCAATCAAATTGATTGATGCCACAGTCTAATACATACATATCAGCCTGGTAAGCTCCGTGAACCTCCAGGACTCGCCCAGAAAATGGTGTTTCATTACATTCAACACTGGGTTTTAGTTCCTGATAGATGCAGTCAACCCAATCATCTCTTTCTTGTAAAATCTTATGTGGTGCTATCGTAGGTGGTAATGAGCTTATGGCTAAAATATTTTCCCAGTTCATGTGTGGCTTTGTCATTGGCAACCTCATAGGCCCTATTGGTTATGATACTGCTGTTGCAGATTTAATGTTTTATTTCTTTGTTTGCCAGATCTTTGCAGTTAGATCTGCTTTAAATAAAGGTATTTAAATAAATAAATTTTAGTATGAGAAATTGTAGTGTATTCTTAAGAATAAATTTCTTTTCCAGCGGATACGGAGTGAAGGAACTTTTGATTTGCCTTGCACAGAAGCCAAAGCACCAGGCAATAGAAACCTGAATCGATATAGAGATGTCCTTCCATATGATCACTCCAGAATTATTCTAACTGACAGCAGTACTAATTATATCAATGCTTCTCTTGTTAAGGTTTGTTCATTAATTGTTTTTAATTTTTACTTTAAAATGATATTTACTTATCTGTGGGGAGCCGCATCGGCTCCCTGAAGCTATCCGAACTGATATATTAGTTTGGGGTCATCAGTTCCTCTGGTCAGGAACCTGGTCCTCTCAGAGAGGCGCAAGGAGCAATGGCCTCTGAGCACTTTACATTTAAAGTATGTCATAATTGCCATTGACTGGGAAAGGACCCAGAAGGACCCAAACTGTGAGGCCGTCGGGGTCGATGCCTTCAGGCAGGACTGGTCGAGGTGGGGTTATCTGTACCTCTTCCCCCTCGGTTCCGCTATTGCTCAAAGTCCTAGCTCGCTTGGAGACTTGCCAAGGGATAGTAGTGCTGTTGACCCCTTGGTGGCTGGCACAGCGTTGGTTTCAGGTGCTGCTTGCTTGGTGCTTGAACCCAGGGGTTTTCCCACGGCTCTACTGGGAAAACCCCGGACTGGCTCAGCAGATTGGGCCAGTCCGTTACATGGCTGGTTTGATCTTCTCAAGTCTTTGTGTTTGGTCTTTCCGATGCGGGTCTATCACCACTTATATGGTGATCAGGTGGCTTCGTTGGTGGTATCCCACCTGCGTGCTTCTTCTCTGCAGCAGTGCGGAGTTTCCTGGCAGTCCTTTTGTTATTTCTTGTCCCTCCATAGGTTTTCTTCTGTTTCGGATCGAGTTGTCTTGTTCTTCCTTTCGTGGTTGTTTCAGGACCATCATCTTATGCCGAATACTGTCGCCTCGTATCGTGCGGCACTGACGGCGCCGCTTCAACTTGCATTCGGGTTAGATGTTATTTCTGGTTCATTCCGCAAAGCTGTCTCATGCTTTGTTTCACCTCCTGAGCCGTCATGGTCGTTGGACCAGGTGCTCTCTTCTGGGTTTATGGCCCCTTCGGTTCGAGATTGTTTTGCATAGGCTCTTTTTTTTCCTGTTGGCATTGGCCTCTGAGGGTTGGGTTGGGGAGCTTCATGCTCTCCGGCACAGGTTTCTGCACTTTTGGTCCTGGTGGTAGGTTTGTTCGTTTGCTGCTGACTTCTTTTCTGGCGAAGAATGAGACTGCTGCTTTTTGGAGGGGTCCTTGGGTTGTTGATCCTTAGGTGGTTCTGCTGGGGGTGCATCATGTGTTGTGTTCGGTTGTGGCTCTTCGCCATTACCTGCATGCCATGGCCTCGATGGCTGGGGACGCGCTTTGGGTTGACTCGGTTTCCCTTCTTCCCTGTTCCAAGGTTCAGGTCTCCCAGGTCGTCCGCAGAATTATAAGGTCTAGCCAGCATGTGGTCTATCCTCGTGCCCATGACGTTCATGAGTTTGCTGTGTTGGCTGCCATCTTTGTAAAATGTCTTGGGCTGACATTTGGGCATGGGGTTTTTAGAGGTTGAATAGGGTCCTGGCCACTTACTGCCTAGTTAATGATCTTGGCCCTAGTCGGGCATGTGTCGCATTGCATCGGCGTTTGCAGCCAGTTGTCTCGACTTCGAGTTGAGGAGCGAGTGGCGACCACCTCCCGAGTAAGCCCCCTTCCCCTTGTTTTTATCTTTGGTGAAGTAGCTCTGGGGAGCCGAAGGGTTTTCCCCCAAAAAACCAGTGTTGAATGTAACGAAACTCCATTTTCTAGGTAAGACCAGGAGGCTCTCAGGCAATTCTCTCTCCCTCTGGGTGGTGGTTTTTGCAAGTTTTGACGTCCAGCCTCAGAACTAGGTGTATGAATAGCTGGCGCGGGGGTTTGGGGGCTCCCCCTTCCCCCTCACGGGGAGGGAGGAGCTGTGCAGACAGCAGTGCAATGATGGTTGTGATGTTCTGCTCATTTGCTTGTACAGTATTTTGTTTGGGGGAGTTTTGTCCAACAGTTCGGCTTTCAGTAGCAATATTTTAACCAGATAGGGTTTGTTTTGGAGCGCCTACCATTCTAGGTGCCTGACCCAGTCGATGGCAGACATAGAATGCTTTCAACCACATGGGGGGTTTCTATAGGCCATTGTTCCTCGTGCCTGTGAAGAGGCCCAGGTACTGGCTCGTGGTCCCCGATAGGCCTAAGAACTCCGCATTTGCTGGCGTATAAGAAGTTTTTTTTTTTTTTTTAAATGCGTCAATAAAGTGCCCTTTGACTAATGCGGCTATATTACGAATGTGAGACCGAGCGCCAGAAGCTAGGGAGCCCGATGAGCATACTGGCTAAGTTCACTAGGCACAAAAATCATTGCTAATAATAAAATATTGAAAACAAGCAAAATTATTAGAGTAAATTGTTAGTAATAATAAAATATAAAATGCAAGCTGAGTTATCACAGTCTTTTATCACAAATGAAAAATTGCCTATGATGTGTCGGCAGTTATCACGGAAGCTCACATCATCTCGCCATCTTACCCAGCATACATAACCCACACCTGATATATGTCATACATTATTTAATGACTGTGTTACCTTTAAAACATGTTTATTCATTATCTAAATGAAAAATGCTCCTAGAAATTTGAAAGGAATTTTCAACTTACAGTACATCTGCCTGTCAGCCATTTGCAATGAGTAAATAACACCATCACCAGAGCGCTGTGATAGTGCAGCACGGCCGGGTGCGCTGCCCTGATGGCCTGATGCAGCAACACATCATCACATCCAGAAATACAAGTTTTCACATCCTGTTTAGAAATTCTCTTGCCCAAAATATAAACACCTACACAGCTGATCTTAGAGGAGGTAAGAGTTGGGGTACAAAATCCACTTTAAAATATCTTTCAATAAATGTATGATGAAACATACTAAAATAGGTTTTTCCACAAAATATCCTTGTAAAATAGGGTACGTCCTATGCAAAGGTGCGTCTTTTACACTGGTAAATAAGGTACTCTAAATGTAGAGTGCTCATATGGCCATTGCTCCTTTTGGCTTTGAGGGGGGCCAGGTTCTGGCTAGTGGTCCGCAGTAGGCAGAACTTCGGTGACTGATATCCCCCAAACTTAATATTAGCACATATCAGTCTGGATAGCTTCATGGAGCCTTCAGGGCTTGCCCAGAAAATGGCATTTCATTACATTCAATGCTGGTATTTTGCAATTCGTGATAAATATCGAATTCCAGGAGTCTGGGCCTGGCACAGAGTGCAATGGGCATGAATTCAGTGACTACTTCTAAGTCAAGTGGGGTTAGGGTAACATTCTCCATTCCATTCCAGTTTGCATCTTTTTCTCTCTTTCTAGTGGTATGTGACTTACATATATGTCTAGTGCTACTGTGCCTATTTTCTCAAGGCACTGGTTTAAGTTTGCATTATCTAGCTGTATTTCCCAGTATATTTCTGTGTGGTTTTGGTTTATATTTCATAATTAATGTTTGTTATTGAAATAGAATTTGCTGAATTCTCCTCCTTGGATTTGAGACTGCCTGCACATGTATGAACTTCAATTAGATTATGATCTGAGTAACATGTATTTGTAATTACAGTATGTCCCTAATCAGTTCATCATTGCTTGTAAGGATAAGATCTAAGGTGTTTTCTTTCCTAGTTGGTTCTACTATTTGCTGGTTTAAGGCAAATCTGTCTCGTGCACATCTGCCAGAGGTCATCTGTGTGTGACTTCACTTAAACTGCTTCCTGGGAATCTCTCTGGTATAACTGTACCTGCCACATTTTTCCATTTCAGGTGCGATAAATTGAAGTCGCCAAGCAAGATGATGAATAGGGCAGGGTTTGAGAAATTTTCTAAACCGTATTCTATTTTTATAATTTGGTCTTTAACCATGCATATTACCGCGCATATTGGGGGCCTAGTAGCGAAAAATATTCAAATTATGTAAAAATAATTTAAAAACGTTAAACACATTTCCAACATTTTGGCTTCAGTGTCATCAAACTTTCATTAAAATATTTTCAGAAATTTATTTTAGACAAATTTTTGAAAAATAAGAACGTTTTGTTGATAAGGAGAACAGCTCCTAATAACTGGATCTGAAGGATTATGCAGTAGTAAAGAGATACAAGCACCTGTCTGATGCTCAAAGAAGAACAATAGTAGTAAGAAGTGTCCACAAAGTGGATATGCAGTTGGTGCCTTTATATCATTGCTGAGTACTGTAATACATAAAAACACAAATAATAATGAATAACTATGTTAGTATGATCTTTTTTGTTATATATCATATAAATCCGTTGTCCAATGTTAATATATGTTACTTTCATCAATGTCCCCAAAATAATTTTTTTTTTTTGCAGTGGGGGATTTTTTTAAGATTTAAGTTTTCCTTTTCTCCTTTGTTATTATCTGATTTTGTTGTAATCTTTACACCCTGGAGAATGCATGTGTTTCCATAACTATGTAAAGATAGAATGAAATTGGTCAACAAATAAAACGGTCACAATTTGCAAAACTTGGGACTTAATTTTTTTTGGCTGATTTTTTTTCTCTGATTTCAAACTCTATTTTCTTTCTCTCTTTAGGTTGCTTTGATGGTTAGGGACCATATTAGGGCTTTTTTACTTGTATAAAGTATACCCTAAATATATCCTTTAAATCATTATAATTATTATAATTTTCCCTATATATTTTTTTTAGGCGGGGGGGTATTTTTTCCCGACTTCATTTCAACATATTGACCTACAACTTTCACATATTCAACTACGAATGCCAAACAATGTTTAATAAAACATACAATTAAATTAACAAATTTAAACTACTGTACCTTTATTCATTGTTGATAACTTCAACTTCAATTATCTGAAACTAGAGTTTCAACTTTGAGTGGCTTCTAAAATTCCAGTTTTTGACTGATTCTCACTATTCTGACGTATTGTGTGCTGAGCTGTCTGTTCTGCATTCCCTTCAGAACGAATTTTTCATAAACTTTATACATTTGGAGTTATAATTTTTTTGGTCTAAATTTGCTGCATATTTCAAATGCCCTATTGAAATTTTTTTTTTACTGTAAACTATACTGAAAACCTACATTCTAATTTGATGAAAATGAAGATCATATACTATTCTCAGAG